GCTTCAGGCAGTTTATTCTGTAATTGATACATGTAAACAAACGCTATAAGCTGTTAAGTGACTTTGGCCTTGGCTACACTCGCGGATTCACAGCGCTGCCGCGGCAGCGCTGTGAAGTGCAAGTGTAGTCGCGCCGCCAGCGCTGCGAGAGCTCTCTCGCAGCGCTGCAAGTACTGCACTTCTCCGAGGGGAATAGCTTGCAGCGCTGCAAGGGAGCGTGCAGCGCTGCAGGCGCTGATTACACTGGCGCTTTACAGCGCTGCACTCGCTGCGCTCGGGGGGGTGTTTTTTCACACCCCTGAGCGCAGCAAGTGCAGCGCTGTGAATTGCCAGTGTAGCCAAGGCCTATTGGAAGAGGATAACAAGGTGGGAGGAGGAAGAGTTCTACTAGTTCTAAAATCTTGAAGGACATAATGGCACTGATTGTTTCTAGTCACTAACTATAGAGAATGCTTTCTTTAATTAAGTATCAAATGTATTGCATTTAAAACAGATTTTTCATCCAGCACATTTAAAAGATTTTTTTAATTAAATAAAACCAATTTTAAAATGCTGTTTGTGCATTAATTGAATTTCCATTTCCATTCAAATGCAGCTTGACACAAATCACAAGTAAAAAAATTAATGCTCTAGCAAATAAGAAATGCATCATTCACCATTTTCTAAGATCATAAAAATGAAAAAAAACTACAAATCTGAATACATGTATATTAAGCTATATAATTGCTTAAATGTGTATTGATTCAATGTATCATCCAGAATGGCAAAACGAAGCACCAGATTTAGTGTGATGGCTCTATGTAGTTGCAAATCAATGTGTTTTAAGGTTAATGAGAATCAACCTCTCTTAGGAAGAATAAAAAAATAGTTACATGCCTGTTCTGCAACTGTTGCTCAAGAGGAGTTGCACATGTCCACTTCACTTAGTTGTCTGTGCACCAGTGTGCCAGAGTACTTTTTCCCATAGCAATACCCATCGGGCACTTGTACTGCTTAGCGACAGGTTAAAGAGCAGAGCCATCCCAACCTCCCACTCAGTTCCTTTTTATACCAGAAGCCACCATACGTATTGGCTCCAGTGTAGAGGGGAGAACAGCAGGTTATGAAATGGACACACGTAACACATGTTGAACAACAATTACTGAACAGGCATATATCTTTTTTCCTTCTTCGAGTGCTTGCACTTGTCCATTCTACTTAGGTAGCTCTCAAGCAGATCCTGATGGAGGAGGGTATCACTGTCTACCTAAACAAGGACTGCACCACTGTTCTCCCAAACTTAGTATCATCTCTGGAGGGGAGATGGCATAAGGGTCATCATATAAACCAAAGACCACATGGCAGCCTAGCAAGTGTCAGTAATAAGAACATGACCCAGGATAGCTGTTGAAGCCACCTTAGTCCTTGCAGAGTGGGCTAACACGTTGTGAGGAAGAGATACATGGGCAATACGGTAACAAGAAAATGCAAGTGGAAATCCAGGAGCAGACTGTCTGGGAGGTTTATTGATTTCCCTTTGATGCAATAGTAAACGAAACAAACAGCTGAGGAGATGCCCAAAACTCCTTAATTCTGACAAAGTAAAAAGCTAAAAGCTCTTTCAATGTCCAAGGTCTGTAGCTGCTCTTCATCTTTGTGAGAATGGCAAATAAACAGTCTGGTTCAAATGAAAGTCCAAAACCACCTTGGCAAGAAATTTGGGGTGACGATGTAAGGCCACTCTGTTGTCATAAAAAGTCATATAGGAAGGGTCAGCCATCAATGCTCGCAGCTCAGCAACTCTCACAGCTGAGCTAATAAAAAACACAACTTTAATTGAGAGCTGGGACAATGAACACGTGGCCATGGGTTCAAAAGGAGGTCCCATCAAACCTGAAAGAACTGAGTTCAAATGCCGGGAAGGGATTAGATCTTACACAGGCGGGAAGAGAGTCTGTCCAAACCTTTCAAAAATCTGATATAATCATAGAATTGGAGAATACAGACCTGCCACCTAAAGGTGGGCTAGTCACTGAGATAATTAAGAGTACACCTTGATGCTAACGGTCAGGCTCATCTGTTTTAGGTGAAGGCGGTAATCCAAATTCACCTAAATAAGAGCACTGGACCATGAGGTACCCTCAGTGGCGGATTAGCTACTGGGTCGACGGGCAGTGGAGCCCTGGCCACCAGGTGGGGCAGGGGAAGCCCCCGCACCCAGGCAGAAGTGCTGGGCAGCCAGGGCAGAGGAAGCCCCTGTGCCCAGACCTCTCTCTCTCTCTCTCTCTCCCCACTGCAGGCCCGGGGCCGGAGGGAGGAGGGGGGAAGAGACAGAGTTTCTCCAGTCTTGGGGGGTCAGAAAGGAGCAAATGGGTTGCAGGGCTGCAGCGGGGGGGAGGAATGGGCAAAACAGGGTGGGGTGTCTCCCCCCCCCGCCCACTTGCTCTGGCCCAGGGCCCACAAAACCTTAATCCGCCTCTGTATCAGGTGCCTGGACCAAAGAAAGTCATTCTATTTCATGAAATAATGTACATCTGGTAGATGACTTTCCATTATGCAAAATGCACAGTCTGAACTGCCACCAAAACAGGGAAACCTTTGATGATCTAACCACTGAGCGCATCCAGGCAGTGAGATGCAGGCTGAAACAGGATTCAAAATCTGGCTATGATCCTATCAGATTATGTATGGAGGGAATTGGATCCCAAAAACAGATAGGTTCAATAGGTTTGAGAACAAACATTGACCAGACCAGGCAGGCACTATCAAAATTAGGATGGCATGGTCCTGTCTGAGTTTGGCACTACCTTCAGCACTGTTAGGGTGGGGGGGGGGAGAAAGCATAAAGAAGTCTTCTGTTTCGACATCAGAAAGACAGCCGTTAGTGACCCTGGGCAGAGGCCTCCCCTTGAACAAAATTAGTGACACTTCCTGTTCTGGTGGGTGGCGAACAGGTCCAAGTCTGGTAATCCCAATTCAGAAAAATTAACTTTGCAACATGAGGTATGTGGGGCCACTCATGGCCTCTGCTGAATGACCGGCTGAGTCAGTCTGCTAGTGAATTGAGAGCCCAGGAGATGAAATACTTGCAGGTATTTTCCATTCTTGAGGCAGAAATTCCAAAGACCCTTCACCAAGAAGTAGTGGACATCAGATGTGGCCCCTCCCTGTTTGTAAAAGTAAAACATCACCACAGCACTGTTTGTAAGAACCTGCATGGAGCAGCCAGCTATATAAGGGAGAAATATCTGACAGCCTAGGTGTATAGCCCAAAGCTCCCTGACATTGATATAGAGGAAGAGGTCCCGACCCTGAGTTTGTAAGCTCACAGGATGTGCTCCCCAGCCAAGGATGAAGCATCTGTGACTAGAGTCACTGATGGTAGAGCAGGAGTAAAGGAAACCCTGGTGCTTACATTGACTGAGTCCATCCACCAATTCAGGGAGAAGAGAACAGTTGCAGGTATTTGAGTCAGCATGCCCAGCGGATCTCGGGAGCAATGGTAAATTGACTTCAACCACCTCTGCATGACCCTAAGGTAAAGTCTGGCATGCTGGGTCACATATGTGCAAGTTGCCATGTGTCCTAAAAGTCTCTTGCAATTCCTCACTGTTACACAGGGATGCGCCTGGAATTCTGAGCACAGATTGTGTATTGCTTGAAACAAATATGGCCTCGCTGTGGTTGAATCGAGAACTGCAAATTTTATCTTCTTTTCAGGGGTGAGATCTGGTTGGTCTTTGTTGATTAGCAGGCCTAAAACTTGAAAGAGACAAAGACCTTCTGCACCCCTTCTTCCACCTGGTTCTTGGACTGTCCAGGGAGCAACCAGTTATTCAAGATACACCTAAATGCCCACCCTTTGAACATGTGCTGCCACCACCACCATGCACGTTGTGAAAACTCAGAACAGGGGCAGAGGACAAGCCAAATGGAAGAAACGTAAACTAATAATGGATATCTGCCAGAACAAATCTTAGGAACTTCCTGTGACTCTGGTGAAGGGCCACAAGGAAGTATACCTCCTTTAAGTCAAGGGTAGCAAGCCAGTCATTGAGAGATAGGAATGGGATAATAGAGGATAGGGTAACCATTAGAAATTTTATCTTTATGAATTGCTTGAGATTCTGCAGGTCCAGAATGGGTCTGAGGCCTTCCTTGGACTTCAGAATGAGAAA